CGCGCAGCTTTTCAACATGAAGTGCTGGGAAAGACATTTTTCGAATAAGTTTCCCTGCTAAACACCGATTAGATCAAGTTACTGATTAGATTGAGAACGAAAGGGAAGAAGTAAATCTAAAATTCAAAAATAAACACATTATGGTAATCTTTCGAACTGTAATCATAGTCCATTGATCTTTTCCTCTTGTTGTAAACTGGTAAGAACTGGACGCTTCAACACCATTTAAAGAAAATTTTCTTAAGACCTAACAATGAAAAACAAAAAGTACAAAGGAAATGCACTTTTCCAGAAGTACTTGGCTGAGGCATTGAAGTTTGATAAGTTCGACTATTAAGAATAATTCAATTGAAACTGAGTAACACTCGAATTGCACGTCATTGCAGGTTTCAATGGTTTGCCACAAATGGGCCAGATGGGAGCATTCCCATACGGTAATCCGCTGTTAGCAATGGGTGGCATGAATTTAAATCCATTGCTAATGACACCAAATTCGGCTGCTCTTGCCCAATTTGCCAATCCTGCTGCTGCCCTCTCAACCCTTGCTGCCCAAACGTCGCAAGCACCGGTGGTGAATGTCGGTTCTCCCGCGCTCAACGCTACCCCGAGTCCCAACGCCACCTCTGGAAAGCTGGCTAGCCCCCAGAACGGAGGAATCACACCGCCATCGCCTTCAAATGCTGAAGTAAGTCATTTTACTGGTTGTCTACATAGTGGTAGTTATTATTCTGGTAATTTAGGTGCCAGTGTCATTATCTGCGAATTTGCCCGGAGCGACGGGCGCATCTGGAGAGGAGATTCGCCTGAAAGCTGAGAAGGAAGAGCCTGTTGAGGTTAATGGGCAAGGTGAAAATGAGCTGAATGGCACCAACAACGACGAGTAGTTTCAAACACGGCGTATCTCGCGTCCTCCTCTTTTCGTGATGATTTCATATACAAATTTCTGAGTCCAGCATTTCAAGTGATTGCACACTACAACGCCGGTTACCTGTTTATTCCTCCTACAATTCGTTGTATATGTGCGTGGCCGGACTCGTCGTTCGGGAACGAGTCACGAAGAGTTTGCCACGAAATGATCTCCATTTTCGGCGCTAGTCTTTTACATGCCTCCTTTCATCCATACGTTCTTTACTTGTTCTACTGATTGCCGTTCAAATGTTTTTCTCTCTTCCAATATTTGTTTGTGTTCTTTTTTGTGCTCTCATCGAACTGATTTGTTGTTTTTTTCCTCGCAGTGCAGCTTTAAGATGTATTTACCAGGTGAGATGCAATTTGTTGTTTTGACGACTCCGTTGAACTACATTCTGACGGTCCTTTAGTCTTTTTTATTCACTTTGTTTTTCTTCCATTGTTTTGGAGTGAATGTTTCGGTGAAAATGAAACGTTGGCTTATCCAGCGTTCGCATTATTGATAGTAATATTATAATCATGCAAGTGTCATCATAATTGGTTCATTGGTTATCCGTGGAACACATGTTATTCCTCTGTGAGTTCATCGGCTTCCTTCCCATTTCAAAAATAGGTAGGACATTCGCGGTTGTCATCAGTGGTTGTACGTGTGGATGCTATCCCCACTGATCCAAAAAGATTGTTGAATGAGTAGGTATGACATTCGATCAGCATAATAAAATGTTTTACGATAGTTGCCCTTCAAGGCTGTTGTAACTTTGACTCGTAACATTTTGTGTAGTGCATCACAAATCAGTAAAACCACCAACTTTATTTATCACTCGATAGAATTGTAGAAAATTAAACAAACTATATAAGCGCACAAAAGGCAAGAAGACAAGAATTGTATACCCTTAATTGCATCATCCCTTCGAAAAAAGGTTAATTGTTGTACGACTGCCGCTCACTACATAATTAGGGTAAATGCAGGTAGAGAGGTTTTAGCAAAGAGAAAAGAAAACACTACAGCTTGCGAAGATTGGAACTCCCTTTCATTGCGCATTCAAAATCACTGGTTGCATCGGCATGTGTGAAATATCCGCGTTTCTCCCTTATTTATGTCCGTTCCAGTAATTCAGTAAAGCTTGGAATATATACGCGAGCCTCGCAGTTATAATACACATTCGAGCGGATAATGCATTTCATTGTGTATGAATCGCTCAAAGCTAGTATAGAATCGCTATCGAAAGTAAAAAAGGTAGGTTACCCATGCGTTCTGCATGTACATGTATATATCTTTATAAATTTTGCTTATGTTCCTGTATGTCTATAGCCGTAAGCCATTCGGTGATACGATTCGTGAGGTTATCAGGACCAACAACGGCAGCACTTGACTCGTCAACGGCCATTGCGGGATTACGTGACGATAAACACGTCCTTTCTTGTGTCATTTCCGTTGCAAGATCTGAATAAATCATGGTTGAAACAAACTTCTAGGGAGTATAGCATCTCAAAAAGAGTGTAACCTTAGCTAGCGCGAAGAATAAAAGAGAACCTACAGAATAATTGACAAGTAAAGCAGTAGCATTTGCGAAGCTATACCTGACAAGCTCTTTGTGCCTCTGAGAGAATTCGATTTGACTTCGAAAGCATCCGGCAGCGACGATTGCGAGCAACTTTTTACATCAACATCGAGACGATCGGAATTCTAGAGGCTAGGGATTGAATTGAGATTTCTTTATGGTATCAATTATTTATTAACCTTTCAATCATGAAATAAAGCATCTCACCAGATCCTTGTTTAGGATTGAACTCTATG